TCCCCCAGATGGTCCACCAGATTGAGATCTTAAGAATTTGGAGGCCAAGGCAACAACTTGAAATCTTTATCATGTTCCTTAAACCATCACTGAACAATCTTTGCAGTGTGGCAGGGTGCATTATGCTTAAAGAGGCTACTGCCATTAGGAAACGCTATTGGCATGATGGGGTGTATGTGGTCTTCAACAATCTCTAAGTAGGTGGTATGTGTCAAAGTAACATCCACATGAAGGTCAGGACCCATGGTTTCCCATCAAAACATTGAACAGAGCATAACACTGCCTCCTCTGGCCTGCCTACTTTCCATAGTGCATCATACTGCCATCTCTTTCCAGGTAAAGGATGCACAATCTCCTGGCCATCCAACTGATCTAAAAGAAAACATGATTTATAGACATGTGTAATTTGGTCCGGTCCGAATAGAAATTCGGCCGAATTTCTGAAGTGCAGAATTTCGGAAGTGCCGAACCGAACCGAATTGCTGAAGTGCTGAATTGCCGAATTTCCAAAGTGCCGAAGTGCTTCGGACTTCTGAAAAGTGGCAAAACGGGTAATGGTAGGATTGGGGTAGGGTTAGGGTTAGGGGTTGGGGTAGGGTTAGGGTTAAGAGTAGTGTTAGGTGTAGGGTAGGGTTAGGGTTGGGTTAGGAGTAGGGTTAGGGTAGGGTTAGAAGTGTGTGTCCTTCCAGACTGTTCGCTCGCTGCCTAATATACCCCACTCCTGGATAGGTGCCATTGTAATGATATAATCAATGTTTCTCAGTTCATCTGTCAGTAGTTAAATGTTGTAGCTGATAGCTGATCAGTGTATTTGGTATTATCCTCAGTGTTTTTTTTTACTAACGAGTTTATACTAGCCCTAAAGTTGTAAAGCTGCTTTTAGATTATTTTTTTTTAGTATATCCCATGGTTATTTGCTTTTTGGAGTTTATTTCAAAAGACACTATATTGTGATCACTAATTCCCAAGTGCTCCCTTACTTAAATGTTCAACAAAAGATCAGCATTATTTGTTTTAAAAACATATCCAGACAAATATCCTTTCTAATTGGTAGAACTTCTGCCAATGGTGACATGAAGGTGTCAATAAACAGGTTTGAAAACCAATTTATGTCCAGGTGATTGAAAGCTCTAATAAAGTATTACCTAGATGTGCAACTATCCCAATTTGCTCAAGCAGCTCTTCTTCCTCAACAATATCAACAATATCAATAGGTAGTTTATAACTTATCCCAACCAACATATGATTTCCCTTCTTTTGCCTAATTCAAATATGTACCCACAAAGCTTCCACATTTTCCTCATCACATACCACTTACTCAATATTTGACTTTAACTCATGGTAGCCATGCAAGCATACCCCACAACCTTTTCCTCTTTTTCTACCCTTCCTAAATAATATATAACCAATTAAGTTAACTGCCCAGTCATGTGTCTCATTCCATCATGTTTCTGTCTTGCCTATTATGTCAAACACTATAAATGTATGCTGCTGTTTCTAGTTCCTCAATTTTGTTATTTAGTTTTCTTGTTATAGTAGGTATACATTTAATATTGTCATGAGCCACTTGTACTGAATGTAATTTTTTTTTTTTTATAAATACCTCATCTGTTCTGATCTTGCCTCTACGCTCATCTCCACCCCACGGGTGCTGAGCTAAATGCAATCTCCTTTCTGTCTAATTTCCTTCATGTAGATTTCTGTGTCCTCCCCCCTCCCCCCCACCATTACTTTAAAAAGTTTAAAATCTCCTCCAACATTCTAGCCTTCTAGCCATCCAGTCCCACAGCACAGCAGACCAACATCCGTTTAATCCATCACCACGATCACATGACTCGGATTGCCCGTATTTCAAGATTGGCTTCAACTGCCTGGGTTGTCAGACAGATCCCCCAGAATACAGTGAATAAAACAATCTAATTATATATAAATAAGGCATATCACACACTACTATACAGTCTATCTATCTATCTATCTATCTATCTATCTATCTATCTATCTATCTATCTATCATTCTCAGTTTATTTATATAATAGTATTTAATTCTCAGTGTATTATACTAATTTTATTAATTATATACTGGGGGACCTGCCTGACAACCAGAGAACTTAATTTGCAAATCATATTTTGACCCTGTAACTTTCTAAAACCCCATAACACATGTGCATAGGTGTATAGATCATGCCCGTGCAGTCTCTGCACACAAAAACTAGAGTCCCTTTAAGAAAATTTACTGAAAAAATACCAAACTCTCACATATTATTGCGTGCATTATGAAAACTCTTTTAAATAAAGATGGTCAATAAAATTTAAAAAAGTAAGAGTCCAAACACTACTATCCCAAATTCTAGACAGACCGGTAGAACTAAACCCATGGACATTCCAGCTGGCCAAACCCCTAGACAACTGGCCCAGACCTCACCAACAACTGCTCAACAAGATAAACCTAGCAGCTAGAAGAGCCCTGGCCCAGACCTGGCTACGACCAGACACCCCCCCAATGACCACAGTACTTAAAATCAAAGAATGCCACCTCATGGACAAACTCACAGCCCGCATACGAGGTACCACCAAAACATTCTCCAGGATCTGGGAACCCTGGGAAAACCACATTGACAGACAATGACATCTAGACAGATTGGGGACACGACAAACAAGTAAAAGACCAAGACACACCTATTACCTCTCCCCCCACCCCCCCCCCCCCGCACCACCACCACTCTACCCCTCCCCCCCATCAGTTACCATTGGGCCAGGACAACCGGTACCCCGACCCACTGTTTTACTATATTGAGTTACTAAAACAAGAAGACAGATTAATCACACTGTTATTGAAGTTTAAATATGATCTAATTGTTTGTACTCCTTGTTTAAAAAAACCAATGACAACTGGCAACAGCAAAACAAATGTACATGGAAGATACTACATTGTAAGCCTATGTTTCCTGTTCATTTATTACCACTGTTTTCGACATGAATACGCAATCTTGGAACACTAACGGGCTCTTGCATGAGCCACACTGCATGAAATGTATTACCCATTGTCATTGCAAAAATAAAGAATTATAAAGAAAAAAGAAAGAGTCATCAAAGGAATGTGCCTTCTGGTTCCACTAGATTCCATGGAAACTATACACATTATGTACTCTATAAATCAAGACACATAAATGAATTTATTTTGAATGACTTTTCCTAAGCTGGACATATTATGCACACGTTATTATTGCCTAAACTGTTTTTTTTTTTTTTAAATATAATTAATGAGAATTTATATATGTATATGTGACATCATATTAAAGCCCCTTTTGTCCTCTAAAAAACTGTATATAATATGTGTTGGTGCAATAAATGAGAGAGATGCAAATTGTTGTTGAACACAAACAGCAAAAAATGCAAAAAATGCTTGTGTCCTTAAGGGTAAGACAAGCTTCTGAAGCTGTGTCCTTAAGGGGTTAAACAATGTGATAACAGAGAAATGAAAAATTGCTTCAAAAGTCTTACAGTTGACAGATAAGGAACTTAGATTGTAAAATATAATTTCATAGCCTTTCACCAGGAAACATGATTGACTTTTTTTAGTAATATCATCATGTGCTGCCTTATCTAAATTACTCAAAATTCAAAAGGTTACAGCAAACAAAACCCAAAAGTTACCATCATACCACTGTGTTTATAAGCATGTAAGGGACACATTGTTTTAAAACAAACTGTATTCCTATAAGCAGAGATGGAGGTTAGATGACCTTTCACAAATAATTGTTTGTTTAACCACTGTACATATCAAAGGTGACAAATACTATGTTTTATTATAGACTTCCCTTAAGGATGATTGTTCATTTGATACAAGTTTGGGAAAATAACTTTGACCCAAGATCAAAGTCTTGAGGAAATATGATACATTGTAAAATAACACCTCCGAAATAGATTTTTTATTTTTTTTTTACAATTCTTTATTTTTGGAGTGCAGAGTAAATTACATGCTTGAGCAGATACTTGTATCAATATATGCATGGAAAGTCAAGAAGAGTTGCAATTTTTTTTGGTTATAACAAAATAGGTAATACATGAGTAATACAAGAAACGCTACTATACTTGTATTCAAGGTTCGTATCAGTCGAGTGTCATGCTATGCTGCTTTGTCTGGGATGCAAGCGTTGTAAGCCTAGGTGGGGAGCATGTTGGTTCAGCCTGATGTGTCATGTTTGGCTTTAGTGTTCGTAGTCGTACAAAAGCGTAGAGTTAAGCATATCAATACTATTTGGTTCGGCTGCGCTTGTGTGGTTGAGGACCTAATGGCTGCTCGCAGTTATGGCCGCGTGTACAACATATTATCCAACATTACAACATTATTATATTAAGACATCCGTGCGGCCAGGCTAACTGACTCCGCTTTAGGTTTAGGGGCGTCAAAAACAAGCCAGCCTCACACTGACGCCACGCTGTACAGCAGGGAACTTGTGTGGGTCCTCCTCTGCTAGGCAATCTAGTCAGAAAAAGCTTGTGTCATGGTGGTGTCTGGGAGAGTACTCCCAGCGCTTCCAAGAGCTGGGCTCATGAACGTGGGTTCAAAAATATGGTGCTAAGCTTGCGAGGCCTATGTAGCAGAATCCCCTACATTGCAATTTATCACAGAGAATTTTAGTTAAGAGAGTATATCACGTGAGATTTACTGCGCTTTTTCTTTGTAGATTACATTACCTACACATATACCGAGTGGGGTATTTAATGGTTGGCTACTAATCGCAGGTGAAACCCGCTGAGAGAGGTTATGGGCCCTTAGGCAGACTGAGATGGTGCATGAGAAAGGAAAACGCTTAAGAAATCATATATCAAAGCTACGCTGGTACAAATAAGATTAAACCAAATTAAACAAAAAGTATTAACTATGGACATTCTGAGTTTGGATATCGGAGCCTTAGTCTGCTTGTTACCATGTCTCATTTGATGGTTTATTGTATAGACATGGCCCCCGCCCCACATATCCCTTGGGCTGGCCCCCTTCAGCCGATGCCCACAGGGTTTACCGGACTGTCCAGCACGTTGGTGATCATCCAGGCGGCAGCTCTCTGGCTTGGTAAGGGGTTCCCCAGCTTCGGGCGGCATGGGGGGCAGCTCAGAGGTGGCCATGTTGGTTTCTCCGTGTAGCTTAGGACAGGTTGTGGCGCTTTGGGGCTTGGTGTTTTACGGCAGCGGTGGGCAGGACGTCTGTCCGCATCTCGGTGTCTCAGCGGGTAGCGTTGTTTCCGCAGCTTTTGTCGCTTCAGTGTGGGTGGAGTAGTGCGGGAAAACTGTCGGCTTGTAGGCAGCCTCCCAGGCTGCTCCCTGTTGCGTACTTGCTCTCCCTTGTCAGGCTCCTGTGTGGCCTTCGCTTGCCTTGCCCTGTCGAGCAGCATGGCCCAAAAGTTGTCAATTATGGCTCCCAGAGTGTTTGTTGCTTCGGCTTTAGGGCCTGCTGAGTCAGGCTGCAACAGTGTCCAGCCTCGTGTTGCAGAGCTTGGTGCCTCTGCCATCTTGGGTGTCTCTGGCCCCATGTGGCTTGGGAGTTCTGCAGGGCTCACAGGAGCGTCCGCACTTAAGGCAGCCTAGGTCCTCTCTGGTTTGAGAGTGCCCCTTTGTCAGCCAGAGAACCGGGAGAGCGGACGTCTCTCCTCGGCTCCCACCCGCACAGGCTGCCGGTCTCGATTTGGTCCGCCTCGCACCGGAGACCAAAGTGACAGGTATCCCCAGGTGCAGTGCAGTCACCTTGTCCTGAATATTGTGTTTAGCAGTAGGTGCGCTTGGGTGGTCGGGCGATAAACCCAGAATCTTGGCTCCAGACTTGGGAGCCCTCACAATGTACGTCTGGTCCGCTTAATAGTCAGGCTCCACCCCCTGTTTTTAATATATTTAACGGTAACCTGTATAATGCTGCTATAAACTATACATGACAGGAAACATGTAGCTGAACTGGGAGCACAGCTGACTCAAATTGTTCCAGTTTGTCTATGCTGGACTTAAATTTGTAATTTACTTTCAATTCACTGTAGTGAAAGCAATGGCAGAACTACCAAAAGTGCAACCTATGTGACCACACTAGAGCATTGACGTTACTCTTTAGACTTAGCAGACAGGACTGACTGCAATGCTGATGCCGCAGGGTAGGCTCTCTGCAGCAGGGCTGGATTAACATAGAGGCTGATGGAGCTGGAGCTGCAGCTCCAGGCCCATGCCCATGGTATAGGCCCATTGAATTGAATTTTTTTTTTGAACTTTTTACCCACTGCCGGTAGGGTTGCCACTTGGCCGTATTTTTTATGGCATAGCCAGTACTTGAGGCTATCTGGACGTGCCGGTATTGCAGTAATACCGGCAATACAAATGCAGGTATGTTTCTCAGTATAAACGGAGATTACTCTGCAATACCAGCACCCGCCAGTTGGGGTCGATGTATGTGGAGAGAGGCAGGGATAGGAAGTTACAGCATATGTCTGCCTCTCTCTACTCACTGATCCGCAGGGGAGAAGCTACACTGGACAGAGTCCAGACAGCAGCTCCCAGCCTGCAGAGACAGCCCACAGTTTAGGTAAGTGAGGGATGGGGGGAAGGCTGCAGGGAGACGTAGGGACACAGAGACATTAGTGGACACTAGGAGACACAGACACTTGAGGAAACTGGGAGACTTGGGGACGCTGAGACACTTGGATATACTGGGAGGCATAGGGACACTGAGACTTGGGGATGCTGGGAGACATTTGGATGCTGGGAGACTTGGGGACACTAGGAGACTTGGGGGCACTTGGAGACATCAGGACACAGTGTCCCCTAGTCTGTCAGTCAGTGTCCCCATGTCTTTCAGTGTCTGTATCCCCATGTCTCTCAGTGTCCCTAGTGAAAGTGTCCCCATGTCTATATACACAAGTGCCCCAATATCTCCCAGTGTCCCCACGTGTCTCAGTGTCCCCAGGTCTCTCAGTATCTCTGGGTCCCTAGTAACCTAGTGACATGGGGGCACTGGGAGACATGGGGACACAGACACTACGAGGCATGGTGACACTAGGGGACACTGTGAGACACATGGGGACACTGTAAGACACATGGGGACACTATGAGACATGGGGACACTGGGAGACACGAGGGGACACTGTAAGACATGGGGATGCTGTGAGACTTGTCTGCCAGTGTCCCCAAATATCTTAGTGTTCCCATGTCTCCCAGTGTCCCCAAGTCTCCCAGCCAGTGCCCCTAGAGTATGTGTCCCCATGTCTATCAGTGTGGGAGACACGGGGAGCCAGACAGTAGGCGACACTGGGAGACATGGGGACACTGAGACATAAGGGGACACTAGGCGACATGAAGACACGAGTCCTTAGAAAGCGTGGGGTAGGTGCATCATTTATACCAAGCTCAGAGTTCTGTCTGCATAGCATGCTCTTAGTTTGCCAGCCTGCATGATTGGCAGGCAGCCTGACATTCATTTATGCCAGTCTGGCCTTCCAATTTTTTCGGCAGACATGCCCCCTTTTTGGGCATGTTCGCCCCTTTTGGCAGTTCTGGTTTACGTAATTTGCGACAGTGGCCCACCATTTTATCCTGCCCATTGACTTCCTGCTTCACTGGACACTGCTGTTAGGAGGTATGGATTTACTGGAAAGATGAAAACCTAAATTAGAGAGAGATTAGCATAGAGTTTTTTTATAGCTGCATCCTTTGAGTTTCCCTCCAGCACCATCTCCATCGATACATGACACTTGGGAGGTATGACTGTTTTATTGTTTATGGTCGATAAGATTCTGTAATTAGGCCCCATCATAACTGTCAGCACCAGGCCCATTGGGCTCTTAATCTGGCCCTGCTCTGCAGCCACACAGGCAGGACAACATGCAGGGAGATCGCACTGCAGCCCACACAGTGCTCTTTAAGATGCAGTCATGAGGTTTGCAAAAACTGTGGCTTAAGAAATTCCTGGGACCCTAAGCTAGCAAGATGAGCAATTTCACTTTTTCATTATCTGTATGAATATTAGTACGCGTGCTTATGCAAGGCAGTTATTGGCTGTTAGTACTGCAGTACTTTTGTTCTATGCTTTAAGTTTATTTTTTATGATTTGCTTCCTAGAAAAGAAAGTCAATATATAGTATATAGCAACAGAGCAATTCTAAGAAGAGTTTTAACATGACAAAATATATATGGATTAAACCTGGTTTGGTGGAAAAATAAGCACAACAAATATACCACAGGAAAAGGAAGCCGCATGGTATCTTGTAGATTCACATGTACATATTTTCACTGTAACCACAACTCTTCTTTTGCCTGATTTAAGCAAATGTCTTGGGTTAAAATCTGTTACATTTATATCAGAGAGCAGCACAGTTTGTATATAAAGGGAAGGGATTTAAAATACTATATTCTTCAGAAGACAAAGCAAGAGAAATAACATCTGTTTGGTGAGTCATAAACCTAGATCTGAGCTTCGTATAATTAGATTAAAAAATAACTATCCATCTGATTTATGCATAAACTTAAAAAAGTCATTAATAAGGGCAATGTTTTTACCTATAATTTAATGATGTTACTATAAAGTAACATTTCAATTTTTTGACATAATAACAAACCTGCAAGATTGTGTGAGCTGGTTTGTACTTGCAAGATTCTGAATAAATAACCATTGTAATAACCAATGTGTGAAATATTCCTGCATATTGTAAATATAGTGAAATCTCAAATGAATGGGTGTCAGTAAACTGATTTTTTGATAAAGTAACATTTATTATACTTCAAGTTTAACATCTAATATAAAAAATACCCACTAAGGAGTATGCAGACAACAAAAAAGAAACATTTCTGGATTTCCCTCTAAGGTTTATTCTTTAGTTTTTGTAAAATTGCTCAACTACTTCATGCTGGTATTCATGTATACACAATTCCCATGGTATGCAGCCATATGCCAGAATCAGGTATTCACAATTTAAATTAAACTTTTTTTTGCAAACTAACTTCATTTGCAATGGGTTATCTATTGAGGTCCTAGACACCAGACCTGGCACTCCCATTACAACACCAGCTCTCCTGAGATTTCCTGCAGCTGTGCCGATTGGTGGGCACATCGAAATATCTCCCTGCCCAGCACTGTAGCTGCTTCCCTGATCGAGGTCTGCACGTCACAGAAGGTGCAGACCAGTATTTTTTTTTTATATAATTCTTTATTTTTCCAGTGACAGACAATACTGCTTGTAAACCCCCCCATGGGCTTATGCAAAAGCCGCGTTTCAAGAGGGATCATGGCAAACCAATTATACAGAAAAAAAAAGAGAATGATTTTTTTTTTTTAAATACGTTTTCTGTACGGCGGTCCCGTCTTTCCTTTTTTTGTTATTTTTCTTTCATTTTTATGTAAACATTAAACTTCCCAAACTGGAAAACACCGTGGTGGGTGTATTGCGTAAATTAACAGAGAATATCATAACTTTGGTTCGCAACCTGTCGGTTTATTCCTCCCGTGTTGTTATACTGATTTAGTTTAGCTTTATCCACTATCTCCCACCCCCCCTAAAACTCGTTGGTTTCAAGTACAGGAATGTAGTCCTCAGTTCTCGCGTGAACTGTAGTTGTGATTACAATTCGGTGTCGTGAAGTTACTGCCTGTTCTTGCATTTACTTTTTGCATGTTACAGTGTTGGGCTGAGACCAGTATTTTTATACATATATATTTCATTGCAGCCTTTGTCCTAGAGGGAAGCTCTTATCTTGGTCTCCTTGTATATGTGTGTGTATAGATGAAAATGTATCCATACTTACCGTAATTTTCCTTTCCTGGTCATAGGCCATGGCAGCACAACAATAGGTTAGCTCCTCCCTATCCCTAATTAGACAGGAACAGAATTAAAATCAGGGGTATAAATACCCCCTCCCACCAATGGTCCCTTAGTCTTGTTAACAGCAATATCCCAGGGCGGGATCTAAGTGCTGCCATGGCCTATGACCAGGAAAGGAAAATTACGGTAAGTATGGATACATTTTCATCTTTCCTGGCCATATCCATGGCAGCACAACAATGGGTAATACCCAAGCAATAACCAAGGGAGGGAATAAAGAAACACAGACTCAAGAACATTTTTAAATGCTGGTGTATTAGAAATCACACGTGCAAATAGAAATTAATCAAGAAGAGTTGACTGCGGATAAGACTGATTTGCCAAAAGAGTCTGATTGGCTGGCTTTAACGTCAATCTGGTAATGCTTAATAAACGTGTTTGGAGAAGACCAAGTGGCTGCTTTGCAAATCAGCTCGGGTGACAAATTAGCAGCTGCTGCCCAGGAAGAGGAAAGGGACCTCGTGGAGTGAGCCTTGAGCCCCTCCGGAACCTTCATCTTTGAGGCTTGGTAAGCCTGAACGATGGCGGCAATAATCCATCTACTGATGGCCATCTTAGAAGCCTGAAGGCCTCTTCTGGGGCCGTTGGGGATAACGAATAGCCTTTGAGAGATCCGCCAGGCTGAAGATCTTTGTAGATAGACAGACAGACATCGAACAAGATCCAATGGAGAAGGCAGA